CCCCCCCCCCCCCCCCTCTTGCAGCTGTATGTGGGACACCCTAGCATGTGCGTAGGAAGGAGTATTGGTTGGTCGGCCGATCGGTAGTGTGTTGTGTGTGACTTGGGCGATATGATGTGATGCGATGCGATGCGATGCTGGTGTGTGTGTTGATGAGTCGGTTGTCAGTCGATGTGACTTGGGGTGATGTAGCTTGCAAGGCAACCCCGGTGTTTGCCATGTGAATGCCGGATGGATGAATGTGATTTTCCCCAGGGAGGATCCCGTGCGTACCGAGACCTGTCACCATTCACACCGAACGAAACACGCCGGGCGATGTGTTCGACCGTTCCTCTTTTCAGAGAGAGCGGTTTCACGGGATGTCCTAAGCGGCCTCACGGCCAAGTCCTCTTTTCCACCTGCGAGCTTGGCTTGCAGAACCGCCGTGCAGATCTTCCGTGTTCACGGCTCGTCCTCTCTCTGTCTGTCGAAATGCTGGCGCACCGCATCAGCAAGAGACTCGCAGGAGTCATCACTGCGACAGCATCTCGCGCGCCCTCCCTCCCACGCATAGCCCTTCCCCCACACCGGCTGCAGAGGGCCGCCCTGCAGACACAATCACACACACAGACACAGACACAGACGGCCTCTCATCTGCCCTTTCCCGTCGTCGACGAGCACGCTGCCAGTGGTGGTGGTGTGGGTGTCAGTATCCACCTTGCGAGCGGCGAGTGCCTGGCTCTGCACCCCCAGTGGCTGCGGGAGCGGTGCCGGTGCGACAAGTGCACCGACCAGCCCAGCAGGCAGCCCGTGGTGGATGTCTTTATGCACAGTGGTGATGGCACAGATGGGACGACTGGTGTTGCCAACCATCGCCATCCTGTGGACATCCAGGCTGTGGATATTGTGGGCGACGACGGGCGGGCGTTCGATGTGCACTTCACCGATGGCTGCAGGCAGGTATCGACTTACTGTAAGCAAGATGTGTGTGTGCGTGCGTGCGTCTTCATTGATTCATTCGACGCGTTGCGTTGAATGGATGATGGAGATGGAGTTTCGTGTGTGTCTATGTGTATGTATGTAGGTGTATGAGGTGGACACCATTCTGGAGGAGGTGGCGGACCCCAAGAACTTCGGCGTGCAGCTGGGCGCGTCAGTCAAACCGCTCCCCGAGCCAAAGCCATGGCCGCCACACAACGCATCACTCCAACAATACTCTTGCAAAGTAAGCCAACATTTGCGCCGCCCCAATTCCCCCTGTGCCACCCATGTCTGTCTGTCTATCTGTCTGTCTGTGTGTGCTGTCCATCCGTCAGGCGATCAGCACAGATGAGTCCGCAATGGCCTCCGCATTGCACGATCTGCTGGAATCGGGTGTGGTGCTGATCAAGGACGTGCCGACGGTGGAGAACTACTCGCTGAAGCTGTTGAAGCTCATCGGGACGGTGCGGCACACCAACTGGGGACCGACCTTCCAGGTGCACACGGGGGTGCCGGGGATTGGCGAGGTGGACGATGCCGGGCAGGCTGACACGGCTTACACTGAGATGGTGAGGATGTGTGTGGGTGGGTGTTCGTGTCATGTGTGAGGGTGTGGTGTGTGTGATGCAGGCGATCCCGCCGCATGTGGACAACCCCTATCGCAACCCGATGCCGCAGTACCAGATACTGCACTGCCTCGTCAACCACTCCGAAGGCGGCGGGAACATACTGGTCCGATTAATCGACCGCTCCCTCCTTCTCACGCCCAACACACCACAAGAACACGGTTGTGGGTGCCTGTCTGTCTGTCAGGTGGATGCGATAGCGGTGGCAGAGGAGATCCGCCGCCAGAGCCCCCGTGCATTCGACCTGCTGGCGTCGACCATCGTGCGGTGGGAATATGGGGGCGGCCTCACGCCATACATCCACTTCTCGCCACACATCACTCTCGACTACCGAGGGAGGGTAAGTGGATGAGTGGACGAGTGGAGAGAAAACGCCTCTCTCGTTATGTGTGTGGGTGTAGGTGAGCGGGATTGTGTACTCGAACAAGTCGGGAGGTTATGCGCCGCTGATGGCGAGTGTGGAGACGCAGGAGGCCTTCTACGAGGCCAAGGCGATGCTGGGGCGGCTGCTGATGGACGACAGATTCCACCTCAAACACAGACTGGAGCCGGGCGACATGATCATCTTCTCTAACCTACGTACGCGTCGATGGAAGGGTGGATGGGTGGATGAGTGTGTGTGGGGATGGGTGGGGTCAGGTGTGCTGCACGCGCGAGAGACCATTACAAAGTCGGGAGAAAGATATGTGCAGGTCAGCAAGCGTCGCGGTGCCCTCTCACATGTGTGCATGTGTCAAGTGTGTGCATTGGTCTCTCTCTGTCTGTCTGTCTGTCTGTCTGTGTGTGTGTGTGTGTGTGTGTGGTATCGTATAGGGTTCTTACATTGACAACGACAGCGTGACGTCGACCTACCTGGGGCTGGTCCAAGGCACCAAGAAGCTCGATGCCTTACAATGATAGACACAGTGGCGGGTGGGTGGTGGGAGGCGTTTAGATCGGTCGGGGGTTGGGGGTTGGGTCTTTTTGCTTACCTGCGTGCGTGCCTGCCTGCCCGCAAGATTGGCATCAGTCAGCATTTGTTGATGGATCCTTCCGTCAGGGTGTGTTGTGTGTCTGCCTCATCTCATCTCATCTCTCTCTCTATATTTGTGGTTGTGGTGTGGTGTGGTGTGGTGTGTGCCGGTGTGTGGGCTTGGTGTGGTCGGGTTCTGTGCCATACGGAAACAGTGACTGGATTTGACCACACTACACCACACAATGCAGCCGAGCCGAGCAATAGAGATGTGAGGAAGGAAGCCAGAAACACACAACTGACTTGGCTGCCATTCCGTGCTGCAGTGCTGTGTCGTGGTCCGCCTGTGGATCTGGTGTGGAACGGTTGCTCACGAGAGTGTGGCCATCTCTCGCCGATGCAGCCGTCACACACCGCCGGCACACGACGGAACACGACACACACACACGGCTACATATGTTTGGATGGACACCACGTGGCGTCTTTTTCCGTGATGTCTGTTTAGTTCAGTATGAGTGGCATTGACCGATCCATTCGTGTCGTTTTGCCCGAGTGTGGGAGGGGAGAGAGAGGAGAGGGATGGGGACGGTGTTCATCGGTCGTGGCCTGCGTACGATAAACGATGTCATGGCGTTTTGTACGTGGGATGGCGAACGTGTGTGAATGTCTCGTCTCGTCTTAAATCGGTCGGGTGCTTTCGCCTCACCCTTCGTGTTTGCCACAATGCAAGTGTCGTGGCCAGGTGACCGACCGGTCACAGATGGCATGGACGTGTCGCAGCAGACACACGAGGGAGGTTCTGCCAATTCGTTGCTAACTTCGCTGTTGCCTTTCCTTTTGCCGCACGTCTGCATGTGGATGTGACGTGATGGCCATCTCATCCCCCTCCCTCCCTCCCTCCCTCGCAGACACACCTGTGGTGCATGTTGCTGTTGAATGGACATGCATATTGATATTGATGTTGATGTATTGGCGAACTGGGCTGGGCTCGATCAGTTTGTTGTCATGCGTATGTGTCACATGAGTGACATTCCACACGGTCACGCGGACATCAAGATGACACGCGACGCGTAAACAACAGAGTCCAGGTGACCTGTCACCTGGCAAGAAAGCTTTGGTGCATCCCTGCAGGCCCCCCCTTGTTGTCTGCATGGCGTGCTCAGAGTTCAAAATCCGATGCACACACGAACATGCAGAGATACACTCACACTCACACTCACACATGCACACGATGACCAAGAAGGGCACGTCGCATGAACGGCACACATTCAGTGCACTAATGGATGGCATGGCAGAGGTCACGGGGTGGCGCCCAGTGGCACCAGGTAGAGTGGCTGTTGTGTTGTGTTGGTCGGCTGTTGGCCGATCGGATGGCTGGGTCGGTCGCGAGACTCACCAGGGAGCGGCTCAGCGACACACAGACATCCCCTTCTCTCTCTCTCCCTTGCCCATCAGTGGTCGCGGGCGTACGGACGGATCCCAGCTGAGCTGAGCTGAGCTGCTTAATGCTGCGGGCGGCTGTCGACTTACGGGCAGTCTGCATGACCATTTGACACACACATGGCACACACACAACCACATACATGTATGTCTCTCTCGGCACGTTTGGTCTCCTCGTGCATCGGGCATGTGTCGCCAGCGGCTGTGCATACCTACCGTGTTGGTGCGGTGTAGCTGACCGAGAGAGGGAGGAAGGGCTGGCAGCGGGGAGGCCACCACGTGTCGGGTGGCGGTGCAGTCCTGCGTTTCGTTTATAGTGAGGAGGTCGCTGGCGAACGGACCACTTCACCAGCTCCCGCACTCTCCTTCCGCCCGATTACTCGCACTCGCGTACTTTCATCGGCAGGCCACTCCCGTGCAGGAATGGTCTGTGACCGGGTGGTTTCTGATCACCGCAGTCGTCTCGTGCTTCTGCCTCAAGGGAAGAGTTCGGTAGAGGGGGGACAGTGGGGAGAAGGGGCAGGCGAAGAGGGTCAGAATCAGACACGAGTTATCCTCCATCGTTCATATGAATATTCTCCATATGAACGACACTTCCCCCTCGCCCCATCCTGGAGATGAGGGGGTGAAGGTGTGGTTTCACGGAATTCCTAGCTCATGATGGATCGACGCCAAACTCATTGCAAGAGGAGCTGTGTTGCTGTGGAGCGTTTTACACAACACAACCACGAGCGCGATGCAATATACTGAACAACTCATGAAATGCGGTTCTGCAGCGGCAGACTGAAGAGCTGTGACCACCCCATGGGCCGCTTTGCCGCACTCGCCTTGATCCTGTGCCTCATCACCGCTCCCAACGGTCTCTTCCCCTTGGCAGCGTCTGCCTCATCCCTCAGGCCACCCCGCCATCACAGCCATGGCCGGCACTACTCAGCAGCCCACCAACAGCATCTATCGTACCGGCCTGCAACCAACGAATGGGCGCTTGCACCGAGCAGCAGCGAGGGCCGCGACGGTGACCGTCCTCTCTACGATGTGGATGTGCCCTTTGATCTGTCTTCTTCTGAGGATGGCATCGACGCTGCCAAGGGCGTGACGGTCATGATGGACACGGAAAACCATCGGCTGACGGTGGAGGAGGGGGTGCCTGACCACCACCATCACCACCACCACCACCACCACCACCACCAAATGACCGACGCAGTTGCGTGGGGCCGATATGAAGACGTTCTCGACGACACCGGGTGGACGTTTCTCTACGTTACGGCCACAGACAGCCCTATGGTCTCTTATGACGTCAGGGCCTACGCCGCCGGCTTCGTCGAAGGCCTCACAACCGCACACCGCATCACTGATTTCCACCACAACACGCAGCACATGATCCAGAAAGACCCGCACACCAAGACGGCCCTCGAGAAGGTCAGAAACGCCTTCAAAGACCGGCTGGAATACACCGAAGCGAAGACGCATTTCGGGAAGGCCGACATGATGCCGGCGGACCCCTATTGGCAGAACATCCGCTTTGGGCTGTATCAGCTGTGGGGCGTGCTGGACGGCTACAACACGGTGGCTGGGGCGAGGGAGAAGCCGCGGCTGACGATGATGGACATGCTTCTCATCAACTCGGACGGCAACATGCCGGAACTGCTGCGAATCTACTCCAGCTATACCGGGCGTATGCATCAGGACCACCCCACCCCCACGCCCACAGCACCTGAGGGCCATCAGCAGCAGCAGCAGCAGCAGCCGCGGCCCCATGAAGAGCATGACGCGACCATCTCCTACTCGCCCTCGGCCAGCGGTCTTGTCAATCTAGCGGCGCTGCAGACCGACACACAGCACCAACACGCTTCCTTCAGCCCAGAGAGGGCCCACCTGCGGCTCATGGCCAGCCAGAAGGGCAGCAACGCCACAGCGAGACACACAGAAACCGACAGAGGCGGCCTCCTGGATCTGTCGCACCCCTCTGTGGAGCGGGCGTGGCTGCGTCTGCAGCAGAGGTTTGGGCGGTGCAGTGCACTGGTGCGGCTGCTGCCTGGTAATGCTGACCTTCTGGTGGGGCACACCACATGGGCCGACTATTCCGAGATGGTGCGAGTATACAAGTAAGGGAGGAGAGCGAAACGGAATCACACACCACACACGGGATCGCAGTGTGTCTCCTCTCTCTCCTTGGTCGCTCGCAGGTATTACAACATCCCCTTAGGTCAGAAGGTCACCAGGATGGCTTTCTCCTCCTACCCTGGCTGCATCTCCAGCACAGACGAGTACTACCAGCTGCAAGACACGGGCCTCGCCGTCATGGAAACCACCATCACCAACCTAAACCAAGACGCACACAACCTCCTGCCGGCCACGAAAACGGGCAGCAAGGCCTTCGACTTCCTGCATGTGATGGCGGTTAATCGGATGGCCGTCGACTCGGCGCACTGGGCGTCACTCTACATAGAGGACGCCCTGCAGACCGGCACTTATTCGTCTCAGTGGGTGGTGGTCGACATGAGGGCCTTCAAGCGTGGGAAGCGGCTGAAGGCCGGCACGCTCTGGGTGGCGGAGTGTGTGCCGGGGGCGTGCCAGATGGAAGACAAGTCTCATGCACTCAACACGGTGAGAGTGAGACACACGCGTGCACAGGGCGTCCATGTAAAGAGGTGTGTGTTTGTGTGTGCAGACGGGCTTCTTTGCGTCTGTCAACGTGCCCATGTCTGCCACTGTGCGGAGGGCGGCTGGGTACGACGCTGCGGAGGCCGAGTACGGTGTGGTGTACTCAGTCGACAACAACCCCCGGCAATTCATCCTAGCAGCAAAAGCCCCACATGCCGCAGACATGGCCGTACGCAGATAGAGAGAGACACCCCCACACCCCATCCATCCATCCATCCAGCCATCCATGTATGTCTCTCTGTGTGTGGCGTACAGTCATTCCGCCAGCTGATGCGTCGGAACGAGGCGCCCCACGAGCACCCGAAGAACAACGGCTACGTCAGCCACCCAGGCCACGCCATATCGGCGAGATTCGATCTCGACCCCACCCTGCCGGTGCCCACGGGCGGCATAGACAGCAAGGTGGCCAACAAGTGCCTCTTCGACCACATGCAGTCACAAGTAGGCACGCGCGAAGGCACCCTGCAAGGAACCCCCCTCCCCCCACCCACCGCCGTACACACGGATGGATCGTCTCTCTTTGTGTGTGTATGTGTGTTCCAGATAATAAGTGGCCCGACCACGGAGGGGAAGGACCTCTCTGCAACACCTCAGTGGCTGTGGCTGTTCTCATGGAAGAAAGCAGACGGCACGCCCCGCTTCCCCGGCTGGCCGCACGAGGGGCTGCCAAGTGAGTGGCATTTTTCGTGGGCGCAGACATCGCCCGATGGGTACTCATATGGCAGGTTTAGCCTCAAGGACGAATTGGAGACGTGTGCATAGGTGTTACATAGATTGCAATGGCAGACAGACCGTTGATTGAGAGAGATCGCATCGTTCATGTACATGACGCCGTCAATCAATGAGCTGTACAGTTCACTCACTCACTGCACACATCTGTCTCAACAACCAAAACATCGAAAGCTCCCCCCCACCCCTCTTATCTTTCTGCTCCATCCATCCATCCATCCGCCTGTCATGTCCCATTCTCACTCGCCCCGCCAGCACAAACCTCATCACCATCAACACCAGCATCCACATCAAGACGCCGCCGCTTTACCGGGTGGCCCTCCACGCCATTCTCTTTCTGCTGCTGCTCTTCCCCTTCAGCAACACAACCACCACCACCACCACCAGCAGGAGCAGCAAATGTGAAAGCGTTGTCTTCAACGATCTCTCTCGCTCGGTAGTACTGGAGGGTGCACGCCGCCTGTGGGAGGGAGGGGGATATGGCGGAGTACCACTCGGCCAGGTCGAAGACGTCGCATATGTCCCGCGGGGATCGTGTCGCCTGCATGGCCTCGTTCCACTGGAGGTTGCCGTCTTGTGAGATCATCTGCAGCACCGTGTACTTGATGTTCTGGAAGACATGGCCAAGGGTAATGGCCTGACCACACACACACACACACACACACACACGAGCCCCATCCATCCATCCATCGATCTCTTTCTCTCTCACCCGTCTAATGTACTTCTGGATGACCTCCAGCCTCGTTGGTGCGTCCGCCTCTTCAGGCAGAAATATGGCCGGATTCCACAGGGCCCCCCTGGCGATCATGAGGGAGTCGGCCCACCCGACCTCCTTCCTGAACTTGTCGGCGCTCCTGCGCGTCATAAAGTCACCGTTGGCTATCAAAGGGATGGATAGACTCTCCTTCAGGGGCTGCACTCATTGAATCAATGAGACAGACAGACAACAGACAACGGCACACGAGTGACTATCTATCTCTTCTGCGTCAGTCAATGGTGGGTGGGGTGGGGAAGGCGCCTACTCGGAAGGAGTCCCATCTGGCGGCGTGGGCGGGGCGTTCGTGCTTCTCCTGCAAGACCAACAAGAGAGACAACACAACCAACACAATGCCTGCATATGACTCTCATTCTTGATTCCTCCTGGCACCCAGCCACCCACCCACCCTTGCGTGGACAGCTATCGCCGCGATGCCGCAGTCCTCGCACGAAAGGGCAAAGTCAATCGTCTGCACCACACAAACGCATCGCATGCATCGCATGACAAACAACAAACACAGGGAAGCACAAGTGAAGAATGGCGAATAGCGCAGCGCACCTTCTGCATGGTGTCGAGCAGTCGGATTTTGCAGGTGACGGGGCAGGGGAGGTTCCTGCGCAGCGTCTTGAGGATGTCAGTGGCCACCAGAGGAGTGCTCAGCAACGCGGCACCCATGCCGCCCTTCACCCTGATGATTGAATAAGTGGATGGACGAACTTTGTGGGCTGGCTCGTGTCGTGTTTGTGGTGTCTTTTGCCTACGAGAAGCTCTTGGGGCATCCCATGTTGACATCCACCGCACAGACGTCCTGCACGACCTTCTGTGCCCCGAGCAGCGCCTGAGTGGCGTCAGCAGTGCCTGCAGCATTCTCCCGCACCCTCCCTCTCAAGAGGACGTCGTTCGCCTGCCTCTGCCCGCGCCATCCCCCTTACCCAGCTGGAAGACGACTTTGCCCCTCTCCTCTCGGTTGGTGCTGAAGACGAAAGTGCCGTCTTTGCGGGATCTGTACTCGACGGTGTTGTAGGCGTCGTTGTAGGTCCGCACCGTTGACGATATCCTCCTGTCGATGATCTCCTCGCCGTATACCAAATCTGACGCGGCGGCAAAATATGTACACACACAGAAATACATGCATGGTGCATGGCGGATGGCTGTGTGGGCGGCTGGCTGGCTGCCAGTGGCTGGCTGGGGAAGCACATCCATTCCATTTTGCACCTGCGCCGTAAGAGAGGCACTCGAGCCGCATTGCCAGGTTTCCCGCATGCACCTACAGGCAGCATCAAAACATGCATAGCTGGCGTGTGTGTTATTTCGGTGCGTGTGGTGTGGTGTCAGCAGGTGTGGTGTGGTGTGATGTGGACTACAGGTGACGTCAGCAGCTGTACCATTGGCGCGAGGATGAGCTTTCCCCTGTAGTCCACATCAGGGTACGTGGCGTGATCTCTGTTGGTCTCGCGAGAGATCACCTCATCATTCTCCATCCTTCCGCTTCACAAACCACGAGAAGGCCCCCATTTTCCCTTTTGCCTCTTTTTCCCTCTTCCCACTGCGAGCTCAAGTTTCCTCCGAGCTGAGCTCGCGTTGACGTGGAGCGGGAAGGAAAAGAAGAAGGAGAGAGCCTTCCCCCAAGGGCAGGTTGCTGCTGCGTCAGGGGCACCCACTGATAAGGGTGTCGTCAAGAGTGCTTGTCAGTCATAGGCAGCCCACCCACGGCTGCGGACAGAGGACATCAGAGAGCGTCAACAGCCACCATGTTTTTAATTAACGTGAGCAGACTGCCCTGAGGGCAGCCGACACACTCACAGACAGAGACGAGCGCAGAGAGAGGGGCAGATCAATCAAATGAGATGCTTTTGTGTTGGTCTGGTCTGTGTTGGTCTCTCTTGTGGCTGATGATGATGATGATGTGTTGACCTGACCAGTGGTTCTGGGACGTGTTATCGTATCTTGGTCTGTCGCACAAGAGCGCCAAGATATTGTTTTTGGGTCTGGACAATGCGGGCAAGACGACCCTCCTGCACATGCTCAAGGACGACCGAATAGCCACTCACGTCCCCACCCTCCACCCACGTACTGACTGCTCTTCCACACACACACGTGCACAACAGGCAGACAAGAAAGCGGCCCAGCCCAGAGGCGCCTCGGTGATCGATGCTGCTCTTTGCGTGTGTGTGTGTGTGTCGTGTGTGCAGACTCTGAGGAGCTGCTGATCGGCAAGATTCGGTTCAAGACTTTCGACCTCGGCGGACACGAGACAGGTGGGCAGGGCAGGCGGGCGGCACACACATGGCGGGCGGCATCTCCTCTTGTGTGATGCACATGTGTGGTGTGGCATGGTGTGGTATGTCAGCTCGTCGCATCTGGAAGGATTACTTTGCGACGGTGGATGCGATAGTGTTCCTGGTGGACGCCACGGACCGCACACGATTCAACGAAGCAAGGGAGGAACTCAACGTACGCACCCCCTCGCACGCAGCCACACTCCACAGACACACGGATGATGCCCTGCCTGATGGGTGGATTGGATGAGTGTGTGTCATGACATGGTTGTGTGGCATCCATCGGTTGGTCAGCAATTGCTGGAGTCTCAGGAGCTGTCAACAGTGCCGTTTGTGGTGCTGGGCAACAAGATCGACGTCCCCAGCGCCGCGAGCGAAGACGAGCTGCGACAGGCGCTCGGGCTCTACTCACACATGACTTATGGCAGAGACGTACGGGAGGGAGGGAGGGAAGAGGAGAAAGGAGAAAAGGGCGAAGGGAAAAGACAAACATCACATCGGCATGATGCGTCTTGTCTTTTGTGTTGTGTTGTGTTGTGTTGTGTGCGCTAACAGAGGAAGGGTGACTCGGGAGTTCGGCCGGTGGAGCTCTTCATGTGCTCCGTCGTCAAGCGCATGGGATATGCTGACGGTATGTATGCAGGCAGACTGCTCGCTGACCCGCTGACCAGTGCAGTTCGTGTGTGTTTGCTCCGCGCATTTCGTGTGTGTGCAGCTTTCAGATGGCTGTCGCAATTTCTGAGCTGAATGTATGGAGCCCATCCACCCACCGTCCCGCCATCCCACCCACCCACTCACTGTCTCAGACTGACCGACTCACCGAGCAATGAAGTCTCTGCCTGCCTGCCTGCCTGCCTGCCTGCATGGATGGATGGATGGATGGACGCTGCGACCGGCTTGCCTGCGTGTTTGCTACACACCATACCACACACCACACAAACTGGAGGGA